AGCAGCTTCACAGACAAGGGGCGTTTACCTTCGGGACAAATTGAGGTCGCCGATTGGTCATTTGCTGACACGCCTACCGGATTGATTGACAGGTTGGGAAAAAAAAAAAAAAAACGAGTGCTTGCAGCCTCAGCCACAGCGGTGTTCTGTGTTTATATGTTGTTAATAAAAAGATCTAAAAAAAACAACAACAAAAACAGGGAGCGCTGGCTCTGCGCAGCCCACACATCAGACCAGCACACCAGGAAATCTCCAGACCCTCCCGCAGCCACGCTGGACCTGACTTTAATTCGCTCGTGACAAATTCTTTCATTTCTCACCATTTCAGTCATGGCATCAATGGAGGAGGAAGAGATCTCTTGCCTCTTGGCAAAAAAAACAAAAGAAAAGGCCAGATCAGGGATGAAGAAGGGGAATTTAATACATTGGTGTCGCATACAAAACAGTCCGTCGCCGGGCAGTTTATTGTGAGACACCGCATGCGCGTATGCGGTCGTAAAAATTGAGCTTTGCACGGACATGCCCAGGGGGGTACGCTCGTACCTCTGTGTACGTACGTGTGTACCTCTGCGTATGGACGTACGCGGCAGTATACTAGGGGCTTTAGGTCGTTTTCACACCTGATAGTCCGGTAGACTCGGTTCAGTTGGGGACCAATATTCATGACATTTTGTTTAAATTTGAGCTGGTGCATTTGCATTCACACTGCACTGTGCAGACGAGCCAACCTGTTGAACCAACCTATTACCCTGCTCGCCTGTGGGGGCGCGGCAAAAAGAACTATTGAAAGAAACAACTCAAAAACATCTGAAGACACTTCTTCATCTGGAAATAAAAACAAAAACCGAGTGGCATCAAGTTTTATCAGTTTTAGGAGTTACATTTTGTCATTTTTCAAAAATGGACTCAGCATGAGCAGAAGATGAGGCAGAAGACCATGGAGAATATTGTTTTTCACACAAGGCAGCTGACGGCTCCATATAAGGTCAGAGAAATGCGTGTTTGTTTGCCCTGCGCTGTACTCCACTTCTTGCTTGTGGAGCGGGGCCCGGTCTGATTACATTCACACTGTACTCGAACCGCGCTGGAGTTCTCTTCTACCGGACCGTTGTATTTGTATTTATTTCAAATGTTTGTCTTTTTATGCATTATAATTCTTTGACCTTGTTACTGTGCATTTTGTTCTAATATCAAGACATTGTAAATGTCATTTTTGCTCTTAATAATGCAAATTATTTGCAGTCAAGATTGATAAATAAAATCAGGTTGATTTTTGCTAAAATAAACTTAAGCCAAATACGGTTTTATGTTTCCTTTTCTTCAGATGATGTCTCAAATGAATACGAGCTTGACCAGGGACCAGAGGATGGGATTTCTGCTGTCAAATTCTGTCCGACTAATTCCCAGTACCTCCTGGTCACCTCTTGGGACTGCATTGTTCGTCTTTATGAAGTTGAGAGAAACACCATGTGGATGAAGTACAAGCACACAGCTCCAGTTCTTAACTGAGCTGTACATGTAAGTTGCAAATGTTTGTTTAGGTGTTCACTTTACACACAGTAATTTAAGTTTTATTTATGCAGATGATGTCACATTTTATTTGCAGGATCCAACACATTCCTGGAGTGGAGGTTTAGATACACAGTTAAAGACTCGTGATTTAAACACAGACCAAGGTATGTCTCTAATCTACTCAGATAACTAATTTTGTTGTTGCAGGTGTCTGATTCTGTGACTGTGATCATCTCCGCCAGAGGAATTCTTCTTGGCGCAACTGCAAAGTTCAGTCCCCTTGGCAATGATCTCTGGCTGGGTGAGCTTCTGTTGGACAAATTCTTCACCCACTTTTCTGTTTCCCTGGCATGTGACTGTTTACCGGTGAGTTGTCTCCCTGCTCACACAAGATACTTGAACATGTCTTCCTTTGATACTGTTTTATAAATTCTATAACATGTTTTTAATACAAAGCCAACTGTTGTACAAAGTTTGTTGTACATTTATTCAAATATAAGCATCAGAGACATTTTGAAATGTTCACTATGCTTAAAAAGCACAATAAATCGATGATTATTCTGATGCATACTCAATAATCCAGGTAGAAAAATCTAAAAGAGTTAAGTCAGGTCCTCTGGATGGGTTCAAAAAACAAAAAAATGTAGAAATGTTCCGTCTTTCGTCTGAAAGACTTCTTCAGTCTGAGGAGCTGTGCTAGGCTCAGTCTTATAAATAACACCTTCTCATAATGGATCGATCATGTTAACAGCTAGTTTCAATGTCAACAACAAACTGGTTGATCCACTATGAGAAGGTGCTATTTAAAAGACTGAGCTTAGTACAGCTCGGATGAAAGACGAAATGTTTCTACCATTTTATTTTTTGAACCCGTCCAGAGGACCTGACTTAACTTATTTAGAAACTGACGATTACATTGTACAGTAGTCCCTCACAATATTGCAGTTCACTTTTTGCGGCTTCACTATATCACGGGTTGTTTAAACCCAGTTTTTTATATTGTGTGTACTGTACATGCTGTGCACATTCATCTCATTGACTTTATCTTCATCATGATCGCCAAAGTGTTTAAGAGCATATGAAGTGTTTATAAGAGAGTGGGAAAGGTTAATAAGAGTGTGAGAAGGGTGCCTTAAATATATGGAAATAATAAAATAACAATAACCGCCGCTAATTCGCAGATTTTTACCTAACATGGGGTCTCTGAAACGTAACCCCCGCGACAAGTGAGGAATCACTGTGCTTTGGTTTCTAAGCACAGTATACCCACTAAAAAATGTAGACTACACCACTGGGTGTGTGGTCCTTTGTGACAATCAGTGCATGAAGAAGAATAGACATGCACCGGTGAGTAGCAGCCTCAATAAAACTGTCAAACTATTTAGAGCCTAGAAACATACGTGGTAAACAGAACAGTAGTTTGAGGTGGTTTTAGTGCAATCAGAGCTATTTGAAGACCCTCTGTGTTTTTTTTTTGTTTCCATTGTATCTCTATTTGGAGTTGAGTAGTTTTGAGACTCTGTAGTTTAGATTATACATTTAGTCTTTCTATATTATAAATTAAATTAAAGCATATTATTTTGTGATCTTTTAAATGAATCATGTGTTAGATATTGCTTTTATTTTTTTATCCTTACATTAAATACATACAAATTATAGTGGTTAATTCTGAGGAAAATCATCACATAGTGGCTAAAAATGATTGCTTGTAATTAAACATTTATACCTAATTAGGTAAGATACAAATAAAATAATAATAATAATTAATACATATTGGAAAATTTAGAAGAAATATATAAAATATTTTAAATAAATAAATAGAATAAATGGCCAAATGCTTTAAAATGATTCATAATCATGTTAGAATATATATTTACACAATAATTATAACATTTATGAATTCATAACACAAAACCATCCATCATTAAACAGGGGTGGAGGCCTCCGGGTTCAACTGTCCCCCTCTTACAATGCTGATTGCTAGTATCACTCAGCCCTCTGTGAATAGTAAACAGCCATCAGTGTGCTAATGATCCATTGTTAGGCTGATGGTCCTTCTTGACCATGTGAGCAGCTGGTTTTGGTTGTCAGCAGCAAACTGGTTGATCCACTCTGAGAAGGTGCTATTTAAGAGACTGAGCTGAAAACAGCACCTCAGACTGAGGAAGTCTTTTGGATGAAAGAAGGAATCTTTCTACAACTTTTTTGTTTTGTTTTGGGTTTTTTTGAATGTCCAGAGGGCCAAACTTAATTGTTTTAAATATAAAAAAATATTTCTAAGGACTGGGACTTAGGGTAAATGGAATCTCAGAGGTTATCCCTATTTGTTGCCCTTCTCTATAAACTCCTGAACCTTCTTGATGAATCCTTGGACCTTTATTTTGGATTGGCTTTTGGGGTTTAAAGTAGAATTCAGTTGTGGTAAGGCAGACAGTGAGGCTTTTGTTTTTGATAGTTAGAAACACAATTTAAAAGGAGCCCCAGGACGATCAAGAACTGATTACGTGGAAATGGCAAATGCTCTTTCAACACCTCACTGCAAGGTCAAAGCACTTGTTTGTAATACGGTAATGCACACTTAGTATCTGATCAGAGTCACTGCTACTGAAACACACATTTGGCCGATGTTTGTGTGTTTATTGCTGGTGTTTAACCACATAAATGAGTTATAGATTAATGTCTTTGCTCTTCCACCCTAAAAGCTTTTCAGCAGTGAAAATGAGTTTGTCCATTTCCACAATAGTATCCGCTCCCATTAATTCACAGTTACCAACACTCATTAGTAGCATTTAGAGGAAATCTTGCAGGGAAAAGAAAATAGTTTTTGAGTTTCTGCAGTTTACTTAACTTGTTCGTGACTTGTCCAGACTTGCTGCTTCTTGTGACATAATGCAACCAGGAAAGTAAATCAGCAGCAGTCTGAAGTTTCTCTGTGCAAACATTTTCTGTCTCGTTGTGTTGACATTTTGTCAGGTGTAGCTCCTAAGAGTGGATACTACTCCATGTTGAAAATTACTTTGAAAATGAAGAGTTTGATTAAAACAGGTTTGACAAGAAAAAAACAAACGGACTTATACATTTGGGCTGACTCATAAGGAAGAGAAAGCACATGATTCTGTCTGGGGGCAAATGTATACAGGAAGCAAATTAGAGATCTGTCACGAAGATCAAGTGCCTGAGAAGCATTAAGGCACTGAGGGGAATGCATACAGCTGTGACTGGACAGCTGTGCAGAACTCTCAGGTTGTCCTCAGTGCATCTCGGACCCATTCTCTCTGTGAACCAGGGGTTATGGACAGGATATGATGTCACCAAGTTGCTGCACAGCAGAAGAAAGACCAGTTTTATTTAGAGCAGTCTGCAAACAGCGGAGCGCGACAAGTTCGATCTGCTGCTCTGACATCTGGCAGATGAAGCTACGAGGCAGAGGAGACGCAATCTGAAGCAGCTCTGCCGTTGAGCTCAACTTGGAGAGAAGCTGCTTTCCTCACACAGAAGCTCAAAGGTAACGACAGTCTTTCAGAAGAATGCGTCACTTTCACGTGTAGACTTTCAGCTCGTGCATTGAACTCTGAAAACTGAGAGCTGTAAATGTGTGTTTGTAGTTCAAAGCCAAACAAAAGCCATAACAGAGCTAATATTAAAATTAGATTAAAAATGTGACATTACAAAAGTTTTTTAAAAATCCATTAAAGCTGCACACATTTAGCTGTAACATATCTTGCTTTAGATTTGTTTTACGTAATGTTGTTCACACAACTTTAGCCTCATTTTTAAATAATTTGCTTCCAAGCAAATCGTTTCTTTTAAGTGATCATAAGCAAAAAGTTTCTATTGTTTGTACAGGAAACCATCTGCAATTTATTGATTTATTTGGTCATTTTCTGTGCCGTTTTGCATCTGGCCATGTGCAGACAAATGTCCTGAAATGACTGAATACTAAAAAAGGTTAATAACACAGTGGACTTATCAAAGTTGTGTCAACAGCTAAAACAAAAGTCAATTTATGTCTTTTTGCACCATTCTTTTGTCAGCACAGTTAAGCTCAACATAAATTGTTCTTTTGTGGGGATATAGTAAAAAATAATAATAATCATTAGCCAGACATAAAATAATGTTTTTGCACCAAAATGGTTGATTGTCAAGAAGCTATGAGCTAAATACTTGACGTATCTCAGACTGGTGTGGGTTGCTCAAAACTTTGCAGAAACTGGTTGAGCACAGAAAATAATAAGCGTTCAACCTGCAACAGACAACAGTATTTGAATCAACAAGTGCATCAGACAGGACAGCTGAGGCGTATTTAGTCTTTTATTTTTAAAAATGATGGTGGACTCCCTCCTAATGAAAAAATCCAGTTTGTGTATCTTCTAAAATGTAATCCAGAGGAGGCAGTTCCAGATAAATACACTTGAGAGAGAAGTTAGATTTCTTTTTTTTTTGTTCTTATGGTCAACAGTTTGTTGAAAAGTTTTTTTTTTCAGTGAGAATATAGTAGAGTGTTTAAAACATGTTAGTTAATAACATTTTGATGCTCAGCAGCTGTAATAATTAATTGTATATAGTGAATAAAAGTTAAAACATTCTAAAAGTTGATGTTTCTTTACATGTTTTGTAGCATTGTTTGTGGGTTTGTGAGTGGGCCTCGGTCAGAAGCTAAAGCTGTTGGGGGTGGGGCATGGCATGGCATGGGAAAGTTTGGGAACCCCTGGTCTATAGTACTTATATTCTATAGTTGTTATTGTTTATAGTTGTTATAGTCAATATTTATCATAGTTTATAGTTTTATAGTATATAGTTGTTAGTCTATAGTTGTTACTGTCTATAATTGTTGTAGTCTATAGTTCTTATGGTCTATAGTTCTTATAGTACATAGTTGTA